TTTATTTTTTTGCACTTATTGTTATTGCTATTATATAGGGGGATAACAATCCCCCTATATAATAGCAAAGGCACACTGACAGGTCCTCTTTATGGAGACATTAGGGGTCTCTAGGGCCCCTGTCACCTGTGGACTCCAAAAGAAGCTGATGAAGCAGAGATCTGCTTCATCAGCTTCTTTTCTCTGGCTATAGCAGCCAGATGACTGACAGGTGAATGCGGTGAATGCGGAAGTGATGTAATACACATCACTTCTGCATTCACAGCCCGGACGGAGATCAGCAAGGAGCTGATCTCCCGTCCTCTTCCTCCTGACGCCCTCCGAGCCGGTCCCGGGATTCAAGATGGGGCAGCGGATCCCGGGATTCAAGGGAGGTAGAACAGTAGGCGGCACGGACGCGAACGAGCACATAGACGATCGGCGGGCTATGGAGCCGCTGATCGCCTATATGTGAAACACCCGGTAACGGGTGTGTGCAATGGTCGGGTCTTTTCTGCCAGTGCGTGCCCGCTAGGGGGCGCACGCGAACAGAAAAAAAAATGCCGTCTGGCGACGGCAACCCGCCAATGCGGCAGTGCCGTCCGTCCGTTTTTTTACAACGGGCGGACGGCAAGAGGTTAAACCAACACAATGTGCTTTGAGATAAAATTATGCAGCCCTATATTCTATCACAACACGCTGCTACGCATAGGATTAAATGAAGTGCATAGGATTAAATGAAGTGTAACATTAAAAAAAAAAAAAAAACCCACAACCACGGTACGTGCACATAGTAACTCGTGCCGGCTGGTATAACCAGGCCCTTACTGAAATATAGGGCTACAACTATTTCCATAAATCGATTAGTTGGCTGATTTTTTTTTTGTTAATTTTTTTCAATGAATCAGATTAAAAAAACAAACAACTGAGTTAGGTACCTGGTAACTCGGTTTCCAGGAATGTTCCAGGACAGCATCTAAGAGATAGTCTCCTCCCACATGAAACAGGAAACACATCACATACACCAAATAAAAGGGTGCTTACCCTTGGCATGCCTCAGTTAATAGAACCAAAGGATACACATAAGCGTAGAAAATATTCACATTCCCAAGGGTGGGAACCATGCTGTCCTGGAAGATTCCTGGAACCAAGTCGCTTTTAGTTCTCACATGTTGGGAAGATTTTTGACTCCAGGCGTGGTCCCACTTTCCCTGGACTAAGTGCTCCGCCTAGCCACAGGCATCCTTGATGATCGTCACTTGTTGTGGCACTCCCCATAGTCTGCCTGTGGCCCAATTTCGCTTCTCCAACCACCAGTTGAGACGCCTTCACGGGTCCTGGGATTTGGACATATTCGTCCAGTGTCTCTTGTTCGCCGCCCCCATGCTGCAAAAGAAAAGCACGCAGCGTTCTTGAATGGAGCTGGGCCCAGGTAACTGCAGGGATCGCCGAGGTCATAGTGGCCAGGGCTGGTTTGAACCCTGCCGCCGCTGCTTCCCAGGCTTTTCCAGCGTTCGGGCTATGCAGGTGGTGGCCAGGGCTGGTTGGAACCCTGCCACCGCTGCTTCCCAGGCTTTTCTGAGCAGCGAGTCTGCCTTCTTGTCCATAGGCTCAGTTAGGGCTCCCATGTCCTCAAAAGATAAATCTGTTTTCTTGGAGATTCTGGAAAGGAAAGCATCCAGTTTGGGGCACTTTTCCCAGATCCCGCTGTCTTCCTAGCTGAAGTGAAATCGCCTTTTCAGTCGAGGGGGAAGAAGTGAAGCTTTTTCTCAGGGTCAGCCCATTCTAGGATGAGGTCCTTTAGGGACTGATGGACTGGGATGGTACTAGCCTTTTTAGACTGAAGACCCTTATAAAGCCTGTCATGGACCGAGAGCTCGGCTTGCTCCTCTTTGATCCCCAGACCACTTTGAGCAATTAGTGTCTTGATACTGGAAAAAGATACTTGGAAGCCCTGAGCTCCCCTTCCGCAGAGTCGGAGGAAGAATCTGCGGATTTCAGCATGTCCCGGCTGGTACAGCTCTCTGAATAACCATGGGACGGAATCACGGAAGGCCCTGGGAGGGCAGGGCCTGGGTTAGAAGGACCGGGCTGGTCCTGAATGAAAGAGCGAAGAGATTGGAAGGTGGCCAACATTTCCTCTCTCATGCTGTCACGCAAGCCTTTCCTAAGCATGTCTGACAGTGGCTGTTTCTGTGAAGAAGCTAACTTTGCACTGCAAGAGGCACCCTTCTTGTATTTAGGACGCGAGCCGGTGGGCGCAGTTAAGGGCTTTTCTTCAGGGCTTTTGGCCTGAAACAACAAAACACATAGTGTGTCATCAGTTTAGCTCCCCCAAGTGCCACTATACCCCTAATGTACCCTTGCCACAGAGGGGCCCCATCACCAAAAGGTACAGGGTAGTATAAAGTGCCATGCACTTGCCTACCTTAGAGTTGGCTGCAGAGGGTTCTCCCAGATCAGTGGGTGCAGCAACTGTTGCAGAGTCTGCCAGCATTGGTCGTTGACAAATGCAAAGCTCCACACACTCGGCCCCCGTTCCAATTGCACCCCCCCTGCTGGTGTCCACAAGGTGTCCCACCAGGTAGCTGCCCCCCTTTCTCCTGGGTCTGATATGTGGCATGGCCCAGCGGAGGTCCTTCTCTTATGGCCAGGCCGGAAGTGCGCCGCGCTGACGTCAATTCCTGCTTCCTCCTGCAGTACCGCCCCTGGCCCGTCCGACACCACTCCTGCAGCGGCGTCTGACATAATTTCCTGTGCGCCGCCACTCCCGGAAGGCTTCCACCTCGCGCCCATCAAACACAGGCAACGCGCGAGGCCACCCCGCCCGACAACCGGCCGATCCGGCCCTGCGATATGACCGCAAAGGACCGCCATAACAAAAAAAGACATGGAGTTGATTACCTGATAACGCGGTTTCAAGGAATCTTCCAGAACAGCCAATGAGAGAAGGCCTGCCTGCAACAGGAAACATCAACCACATTAGATAAAAAAAAGTACTTCCTTCCACCCAGATTCAGTACCCTCTAGGACCGAAGGCTACCAAATGTACCATAGTATCCCCTCTGTCATCCAATGGATGTCCCCCAGATACTAACCAAGGGAGGGAATCTGCTGTCTTGGAAGATTCCTGGAAACAGAGTTATCAGGTAATCAGCTCATGGTTTTCCCCGGTCATCTTCCAGGACAGCCAATGAGGATCAGTGAGGACAAATCTCACCTCGTTAGGGTGGGACAGCTTGCAGGACCTTCGTGCCAAATGCCTGGTCCTGTTGTGTCATAAAGTCCAGTCTAATGCCTGATGAAGATTTGGAAACGGGACCAAGTGGCTGCTCTGCAGATCTGTTCTGCCCATGAAGTCGCCCAAGCTCTGGTCGAGTGTGCCGTGAGCGTACCAGGTAACACTATACCCTGCGCTTTGTAATTCTCAGCTATGGCCATTTTAATCCACCGTGCTTTTAGTGGCTTTTTTCCCTTTATGGGGACCTCCAAAAACGACACAGAGGCGAGCTGACCGTCTCCAAGGTTTCGTGACCCTGATGTACTCTGGACGTCAATTGCACCGTCGGACGTCAATTCCTTGCCATTCCCTTTCCCTGGCAGAGGCTGGGTTAGTTGCGGATGAAGGAATGACTATTTCCTGAGTCCTGTGGCAATTGGACGCCACTTTTGGCAAAAAATCCGGGTCTGGCCGCAAAATTATTTGATCTATCAGGATGGTCCAGTATGGATCCGCAATGGAAAAAGCTTGAATCTCGCTAACCCTCCGAGCAGAAACTAATGCTACCAAGAGGTCTGTTTTCATCGTCAGATTCTGTATTGTACACAACCCCAGTGGCTCAAAAGGACGCTTAAGAAACCCTCGTAACACCACTGAGAGATCCCAATTTGGGACGACCTTTCCCCTTGGGGGTTTCATTGACTACCGCCCTCACAAACCTTTTAACGAGTGGTTCTTCTGCTAGTCTAATGCCCACAAAATTAGACAGTGCAGTTACCTGGACTGTCAACGTACTACAGGAAAGTCCTTTCTCCAGGACTTCCCTGCAGAAAGTCTAACACCAACGGCACCATGTCTGCCTTTGGTATACCTCGGCTGTTGTACCAGCCCGAAAAAACTCTCCACACTTTGCTGACGTTACCGGTTTCCTACTTGCAACAAAGTGGATACGACCCTTGCGGATAACCCTTTGCTAATCAGCACACCCCTCTCAGAAGCCATGCTGCTAATTTTAAAGCTTGTACCTGCGGGTGTCTCACTGTCCCCTGTACTAGCAAGTCTTCCGTTGGCGGAAGAAGCAGAGGCCCCTCTACACACAACTCCAGGAGTGTAGTGAACC